TAATTCTGCTAACATATGTAGATAATATCATCTAATTCGAGTCTGTCAGGAAGCGTTTTCTTCATTGCAAGATGCAGAAATGAATCTGGAAATCTTCCTTTCAATGCTAAAGACTATGGAAAAGAAAGTGTAAACTATGTTGTAGCTTACATTACCCTCATCGATTGGCTGATCTTTCCTAGCACTAATTTGGCCCCCAAACACCACAACCTCCTCAGTATATCTGAAACAGGATCTCTAGGATCACTGACTCTCTTTTTTAATATAATTTCTCACAAAAAAAAAAAAAAAAAAATGTGCTGGAATCCAAAGGTAGGAAAGCCCTTTTTTTGACTGCTTCTTCTGCTTTTCCAAGTCCCATCCCACTGTCTGCCTTCTGGTGTATAAAATCCATCACTGTAGTGATCTCTTTCCTCCTCTGACATGGGAACTGGCTCGGAGCTCGTCTTCCTGGCTGTGTGTTTCCTGGACAGGACCGCCTGTGGAGCTAGTTAACAGTTACCTTTTATATCTCAGCTTCTTTTTACGTGTTCTTTTATCACCTTGAACTCCGGTCGACATAAGCAAATGGCTGCTCACACTGAGCCTGAGTTTTTCTCTCCACTGTCACCACATACATGCATATTTGGTGTGAGGTATTGCGAAATTGTCAATGAGCCTAATGCTAAAACCATTCATATGATATAATTCATTTTTAAATCGATCATACGAGTGATTTAGGAGAAAACGTCGCATTCACCATTTTCACCATCCTATGTCTAATTTTCTCTTAAGTACTAGCAATTTTTACCAGTGCACCAGACTTGACTTTGGAGTCTTGCGCAATCAATCTGCTTATATCCAAATATACTTTTCTTGAAAGTAATTGTCCATTGTATTCGGCTACATCATTATATATTATGCAAGTCTGTAATTATAAATAAAAATTTAATTCTATCAGTCCAGACATGTTCATATCCAGGGGAAACTGGTTTAATTTTTGTAATTCTATCAAAAGACAGAACAATTGTTATCAGATAAAAATGTTTTTGCTTATTCAACAAGAATGAGATCAGTGGTTTTTATACAAGCAACATTCATTAATCATTGCAAGAAAAAACAGACATACTCTTCGCAAATCTTGCCTGCCTGTTCTGGTCAAAGGATTTCATAAACTATATATGGGAGAAAATTAAATGCAACATTAAAAACCAGTAAGGAACAAACAGAGGGATGTTAAATAACTTTGCATCTAGAGAAGTCTGGCTTCCCTTCCAAAACATCTCACACTAGAAAACAGCTTCTCATGCATTAGTAAGACAAGGCTCAGGCCTAGTCTTGTCTGGCTGTTGTTCAGCCTGGGTGATTACCTGTAAAACAGGAACAAAAACAAGCTCACATTCATATTTTAATATGGAGGAAAAGATGAGGAAATTATTTTTCCCACCACAGCAGAAAATCTTGCAGCTCCTTCAGTGTTGCTGAAGCTTTTTGACAGCATTCCTGACCAGTTCTGGACAGATTACTTTCTGTCTTTAACCTGATGTGCCATATTTCGTTTGTATGCTGCAACTGTCCAATACCTTTTTCCAATAAGGTGGTTTAAATCAGGTAGGGGGTCAACATTAACTATGGCTTTAGCTAAAACATACAAACAAACAAATTTGAGGAAAATCAAATATGGGCAACTTCTACCCAACAGGACAGAATCTTTGTAGTGAATCAAATGTTTCTTCTTTAAAAGTGTAATTTACAGGTTAGATTTATGCAACTAGGCTAATACTTGATCTTTTCATTTCAAATATCTTTCCCCTAAACTTTCTTTTTAATTTTTCAGTTGAATAGTGCAGGTTAAATGTCTTGTTTAACTTTTAAATGCTTTATCAAATTCACCTTTCTCATTATCACCAATGCCTTGTGTTTTAACTGTGCTCTATAAACTTCTGATAAACACTGTTAATTTAGTACAACAGGAATAACAATCTTTAGTGTTTACTGATTCTATCTGAGACTACTGGCAAATAAAAAAAAAATGATATTTAGATATTGATGGTCAAATGCTTGAACAAACATCTCACCCTATTTTCATTGCCCAGGGATCTATCTGCGTCACATGGATTTCCATTTCATTTGATCTCTGTTAATCATTGTTAGCATCTAATCCTGCCTGCAGACCCATCCCTGCTTCCCCTTTTCATTTACCTCCACTTTCATCTTCTCTTATTTCAGGAAGCTGTAACAATGAAGACGTGTAACCATGGTGATGTCTACTCAAAAGACAAGGCCAAATTTGTATGAAGAGATTTGTTTCCCTGAGGTACAGCTGTGAAGTAAGCGTACTGGGGCACTGCATTTCCTGCATCATTATTTATATGTTTGTCTTCAATCAAGAGAGGATAAGCATCACTAAATTACAATGGATCTTCTTGTATGGCCCTCATTAAAATTATTAAACCAAATTATCATATAGATATATATTCGGGTTATTGTTTCAGTAGATTCCGTCTCTCCGCTGTGACTCTTATGGACTTTGACATTTTAACTAACTCGCTGACCTTTAAGCTCTGGATATAAATGGAACATTTTCAATGTGGCCGTGACACTGAATACAAGTCAATGCGTTTGCACAGGTGTATTTGTTTCTGATGGTAAAGGGTCTGCTGTTATAAATCCATTTACATTGTCAATCATCCGAATAAAAGCATGTGGGGGAAAGACAAACAGAGAGAGAGAGAGGCATGCTGATGTGACACACTACACTTCCACCAGTAATTGGTTTTCACCTCCACTCAGGTGCCTGGCAACTATCACACTGTCTAGTCATTTGACATGAGAAGAGCAGTAAAGCTCTAATTGCAGTTTAAAAAAAAAACTGCCTCTGCAAGCAGACAGACTAATGAGCTGTTTTCACAAAGAGGTAACTGAGGTGACTCATGACGTGAAACATGGTTAAATGATATATTAACAGCCCTAATGACAGCCCTGCTTTCTAAACTGCTGGTTTCAATTCAGATTTTTTTTTAAATCAGAGATGTTTATTAATTTCACATTCAATAAGATTGCAATGCAAATTAAAAGCAACATTTTCTCTTAAATTGTAAAGTATCTTTTCAAACCTCTATAATGCAGGGCATAACTACATGATAAACCAGAAAATAATTAACAATTTTGCTCCATTCTTTACACCATCGTAACTCTATGCACTATGATGAAGATAACTATACCATATACCAACTATACCATACATCATTATGGAGGCAGAGGTGCCCTAGGGGTTGGAGCACCGCGCTCAATTCATGAGAAGGCTGCAAGTTCACTGTAGAACAGCAGACAGTCACTCCGGATCGCTATGCAGAACCCTTAGCTCCTCGGTGCTGAAAAGCAGCTTACCTATTCCTTAAGGTGATTGGTTAAATTCAGATTAAAAATATTTGTTGGGATGCACAATTATTGCAAAATAATGATTTTTATATCATCTATTAATTCATTATATACACTCTGAAAACACCCAGCATTTATCACTGTGCCTGATTTAAAAAAAAATAGTTAGGAGAGCAGGTTAGGATCAGTTTTCCCACATCTGATGAGCAGCAGCGGGAAGCAGTATAAACCTTATGTCATTTGCCACTCAAGAAAAAATTCAAACCCCTGTGACATGATGAATACAAATCCTCCCTGTTGACTGGTTAATATTCACTTAGAGAGCCACAGGCGGGATGAGTGGCATGAAGAGATCAATTAACTCTGCAGCTTCTTGTTCATGTTTTAATAATGTGACCAAGTTTGATTACACTGAATAAAGATATTAAAAGACGGTGTAGTTTTGATGCTACACAAACATTTCCAGTTGGAATACCACCTATATAAGCATGAGCTTGTAGAGAAGTTTATCAAAAGTAAAAATCCAATTTAAAGGCTGTTTTTTATATAGAATAGAAAATACTGATTAAATTTAATTAAAAAAAAAAAACTTCTATAACCTGGTTGCATAAAGCAGAAATCTCTAAATACGGAAGATTAGTTTCAGCATTTACACACGCTTTCAAATATGGTAACACTATGGTTAACTGATTAAACCAAAACTTAAGCCTACAAATAGGTTACAACAGACTAAAGGTATCAGTCAGGAAAAGAGTGCAAAATAAATTCTGTGGCATATTATGTGCCAGCATCATGATAAAGGCCAGTTGTTAGAATTGCTGGTGTATTGCACAGAGCAGATGGATTTATGAAGGACAGTCTCTAAACCTTTTAACTTGACATCAGAACTAGAAAAAGCTTTATTAATCCCCAGAGGGGAATCAAAATTAAGAGCATTAAAAGCAGCATAATATGCAGACCTTTAGGCAACATACACTATCATAAAAAACACAAGCAAGGTAGTTCTTCTCTTTCCTGCAGGCATTAGTAGCTACATGGTTTAATAGCAGATTCATCAGGTTGATGATCCCAACCTCATTGGACCTGGTTTTGGAATGGATAGACATTTTCTTGGCAGGTTGGTGTTCGCTTTTCTTGAAGTTTATGGTCTGTTTTTAAGCCAGGAAACAGCGGTTTAAATTATTTATGCAAAACCTTCAAGTTGAGATGTGAAATGTGAATCCAAAATCATACTAGAGCTTGCTTGATGACTGCAAAAAAAAGGTAAACTAACTTGCTAAGGTACATTTGACCAAATATTAGAGGGGATGTAGTTATACATATTTGAGTAGCTAAGTTTCATTTTTATATTCTGTGAATATTAAGACATTTCTTATATAAATTTCACTGTAGATATACATGGTATTACCTTTCCACTCTGGAGAAAAAAAGAAAAAAAGGCAGAAGTCCTAAATAAATCTCTGGCTGAAAGAGCTATGATTAAATGTACATTTCTCAATCAGAACGCATCACTTTAAGGCGCTTTTGTTTCATGTTTCTCTGTCATCCATTTAAAAAAAAGGTATAACCACTGTTTGTAAGACTAGTCTGAAGTGTATAACTTTCCAGTGAGGTGAAAGAAAACAAAGAGAGCCTATATATTCAGGTGAACATCACTTTAATGGGACATTTCAAGGCAAACATCATTGATAACAGTGACACATCAGATTAGATTGGCAAGAAGCCAAAATATTTAGTTTGCTTTAACTCAAGGACAGGAGGGTGAAAGCCTTCCCGGATGAACGCACAGACCTCAGATAAGGCAGTTTATTTATGTCAATTGCTTAGACCGGCGAATAGAAGGAAGTGGTGTTCTTTCTTTTTGCAATGCCAGCTGTCAACCTGCCTCTGTGAGCCTCTAGTTACGTGTCCAGAGCTGACAGACTGTAACTGCTATGACGTGGTCTGGGGCAGCCAAGAACATACTATCACCACAAGGAGCAAATCACATCACCATGGTTACTCAGAGTAATAAGGTCAGTTTTAGATGCTGAATGTCGAACCAATGTTGTTTGAACATTACTAAAGGGCTTTTATCAGCAGTCATTGTAAAAGGTTACGTTCTGTTGACTTTTTATGAAGTCATCCTTACAGAAAAAAGAAAGTTTCAGTTATGTTTACATTTGGTTTAGGTGTTACTTAAGAATTCCTAGGAAGAACAGCAGCTTCCGGAGTCTTTATTGTGTCTATATTGACAGGAGTTGTATTGATTAAAAGGACAATGACAACTAAAAGTAGCTCCATTCAGCAGCTCAGCTGTAGAAGGAAGAAAATCTATGCAATTCCAGAGAAGAATGCATCTTTGAAAGTTAAGTTTTGCTGTGCATAAACAAAGTGGTAATGGCCAAAGAAACTACACTGTTTTCAAACTCTCGATACAAAGGTACATCTATATACTGATAGGAATTTGGACTTCTTCAAAATGTATATAAAGATTGACCAATAACAGTTATCACATGTTTAATATACGTTTCATATTTCAGGTGTAATAAAACTTACACTACATCAACTTATCTTTACTGTTCTTGTACCACAGCTTGTAAATAACTCACTGAAAGCATAAGCTGAACAATATTCCAGAAAGAAAGGAAAAAGTAAAAAAGTCAAACATCTGCCATGTGTTTTACATCTTTTCCATATACTGTTGACCTTTTCTTACCCAAGCCATGTTCTGGTGTATTTTATACATAAGACATTCATGTCTGAAGTTTCTGAGACACAGTATCAACTGATATTCAGTCACATCAAAATAAATGAGCAGGTTTGAAAAAAAATCTCCCAGTTTTAAAGTCCCTTGTTAAAGAGCGTTGTACTCCACACACTTAGATGGATCAGTTGGGAAGTGTTTCTGACAGATAGTCATTAGCCTCTTCAGACCCTGCAGAAAAGGAAAAACAAATATTGAGTGAAAGACAGTCTTGCTTTTTATTTTGAGTTCAATTCATCTTTTAGAAAGAGTAATGGTTTGGTTTCTAAACATTAAAACCCTTCATTATGTTTATATTAAAAACATTTTTTTTTAAGTCAAGCCAATAAACTCAATTTTAATTTAACTATATCTATATAGCCCCCTCTCAGAAAAAAAAAAGTCTGAAGATGGTTTAAAACAAAAATAGATCAGGTTTATAAACAAATACTTCCTCTGTCTGATAATGAATACAGAGTCATAGAAAATGACTGCATTTCAATTGTATCAGTTATAAAACTATACTACCATGTTTAGTTTATTAATCTAATTAGTAATTTAAAAAAATCTTTGCAAGCAAACTCCGCCATCTGCAGTGAATGACTTTACAGCCATCCTCTTTACAGCCATTTAACAGTTTATTGCATTGTATCATTAAAGGAATAGTACACCCAAAACATGATTAGCCTTCATTTTCTACTCACCCCCATGCTGAACAACACTCTGGAGTACTTTTTTGATATCTCAAATGCATCTGGAGATCTGGGAGGCTTCTTGCTGTCTGCTGACATTCAAATAATGGAGGTCTATGGTGTCCGAGACAGAAAGGTCCATAAAAGTCCACAAAAAACGTGTCAATATTCCTCCATACTGCTCGTCCAATGTATTCCAAGTGTCCTGAGTGGGTAGCATCCAGAATTTACTCGAAACGAAGTCATTTAGAATGTTTTTAGAGCATAAACAGTAGTGTATAGGATTTCCTGAAAGCGCGCACAGGCGCGTTCATGACGCTACGGAAGCCGGCAGACCAAACCAGATGAAAGTGCGCATTCAGCGTCTGCTCTGCCAATAATGCAAGCGTAGAAGAAGAAATGTGCTGTTTACCTGTGCAAAGAAAGAAACAACAAAAGAAAAATGTCTGAGGACTTCAGTGTTGAGGAAGAGCATGAGTTCTTTGCTGAGTTGAATGCGCACTTTCATCTGGTTTGGTCTGCCGCGGTTTCCGTAGCGCCGTGAACGCGCTTTCAGGAAATCCTATACACTACTGTTTATGCTCTAAAAACATTCTAAATGACTTCGTTTCGAGTAACTTCTGGATGCTACCCACTCAGGACACTTGGAATACATTGGACGAGCAGTATGGAGGAATATTGAAACGTTTTTTGTGGACTTTTATGGACCTTTCTGCCTCGGGCGCTGGGCACCTCCATTATTTGAATGTCAGCAGACAGCAAGAAGCCTCCCAGATCTCCAGATGCATTTGAGATATCAAAAAAGTACTCCAGAGTGTTGTTCAGCATGGGGGTGAGTAGAAAATGAAGGCTAATCATGTTTTGGGTGTACTATTCCTTTAAGGAAGCTATACCATGATAATAGATAAAGGGATCTAAACTGAGGAATTTTAAAGTGCTTTTTTATCCAAACATATTTAAATGTATTTTTCCTATACCAGAGCCCTCATATTCTGCTCAAACAAGGGGTTCACTCAATTTGGCAAACAGCATGTAAACAGAGGTAAACATTGAAAAAAAAACTGAAGCTATAGGCTTAAAATAACTCCAATTTAAGTCATTTCTCCATCTTTTAATTCAGAGCAATTTATTGAAGCTCATGGCAGTTTTTTTTTTCTCTTAGCTTTGCTATTACTCACCGATAATTTGGTTCATATCATATTTTAATGAGGATCCAGTCACATGTAGGTTAAACACACAGACGTCTTTGTCCTTCTTTGCAAAAATTCAGCTTAACAAAAGTCGACATTACGCCATCTGCTTACAAGCTTAGTTTTAATATTATTAATGTTTAGGGATGTCTGTTAATGTTAACCAATGCCCTTGAAGATTGTTAATGGTTTTAAATTGTAGATTTGAGCATTTCAAATTCTGTCAGAAGGAAAGTTTGACCTCTGGGTGAACTTGCCAGGGTGCTCATGCATACGTCTGAGACTTAACTGTTGAATAATCAGTTTGATCTGTGCTGGTGTGAGCTCTTTCCTCTTTATTTTATGCTTCCTAATACAAAAATAAAGTGCATGAAGTGTGAAGTACTTTAAGTTTTATAATATTTAAGGGAAGAGGACTAGACTGGAAATCAATTGGCTGCTTAAAAGAAGATATGAATTTGGATTACAGAATACCACAGATGTTTCATGAATATATATTAGCAAATACTGCCAGTTGTAAAGAGGCAATATTCTCTTCTCTTACTTACTGAAGAGAAACGCTGCTGTAAGACGCCTATTAGCCAAGTATATTAGCTTTAAATATAGCCCAATTACTTAAGGAACAAAACAGGTAACAAGCATTAAACACATAAAAAAGTATAAAAAGCCAAGAAACCAACTGAAATCTGTGAGCATTTAGTAGGCATTCCTGCTGTGTGGGATCTGTAGAGGGTGTTAAGACCAACTAATGGCCTATAAAAAAGCTTGGTCATTACCAAACTACTGTGTAAGTGGTATGAGTGGTAAATGTAAAGACAACTACACAAGAAAGTTTTTCTGTTGCAAAATATACTGAAGCAATGGTAAAGTCTTCATCTGTAAACTTCTGCAAATTCCAGGGGGCTGCAGCACAGCAGCCAGAGGATGGTGAATTTTACAGGAATCATTTTCAAAGAGTTAAAAAGAATAAGAAACAGTGTTCTCCAAGGAGTTCTCACAGAGAGCTTCCGACCAGAAAACATCACGAAAAAAGTTTCATTAGGTGAAAAAAAACAAACCTCTGGATTTTGTTTACCAATTTAGAAGACGTTTCGCTTCCCAATCCAGAAGTTGAATTGAGAAATCTTTCTGGATGGGAAATGAAATGTCTTCTAACTTGGAAACAAAGTCCAGTGGTTGTTTTTCTTTACTTTTTTTTTGACTGAGAACCTTTAGCAGCATCACGCAAAAAGAAAAGTTTGCAGCTGGGAACATTATGATGTTTTTAATTGGCAAACTATAGCTGAGCAGTTCTCGGTGATGAAATGTTCACCATCAAGAACTGCTTTCCACAAAGTACTTAATAAATTCTTTAAGCATTTTTATTTCTTGTGCTTTTATTCTTATTTTTGTTTTCCTTTAGTGTAGACTACATTGCTTGTTAAAGACACCTGATTTGAATTTTTTTTTAAATGTTAGAAATATATTAGGTGACAAAAATCTTTAAATTTAGTACTTATTTTACTGGTTTATGCTTTACAGCAGCTTAGGAGACATTATCTTGATAATTTGAACAAAAAACAGAACTGAATCAATAACTAGGATAAACAATATAAATATCTAATATGGTATTGGTTGTGATTTTCTGAAAAGTCCTGACTTGGAGATTAATAGACAAGGCAAGTGTATTTACAGAGGATCATTGATGCACAACGTCATCTAAAGTGCATCCTGGCTCATTAACAGAAAGATGGATAGAAAACGAAGCATAGAAATAAAAGCATTTTATAACAGAAAAAGATTGAGAAATCTTTTTAAATAATTCAGACAGATTCTTTGATAAAACAAATCAAAACAGATTATTTCATTCCTGATTTAAAGGACCCAGTATTTTCTGCACAGAAGCTTGTTTTAGAGGTAAGGAACATGGAAAGTTAAAGATGGCTGGCCTGTTATGCTATGGTCAGAGAGTAAACAGGTATATGAACAAATTAGGGATCTAAATTATACTTGACAAGAGACTCAGAAATATGTTTTAGCCAAAAACGACTTAGACACATTTAAGATGATCTGTCAACAAACTAGGAACTGTTGCAGTGATTTTCAAAACTGTTGAGCTTTATAAAGACACTGCTGCAGTAATCCTCATCGTAAGAAAAGGCATTGATCTTTTTCTCTCCGTTTTTTTTTTTTTTTTAAAGACTTGATGGACAGCATCCAATCAGGGTAACTCACCTGAATATATTTTCTCTGCGTCTCGTCATTGAGAACATGCGCCACGTGTTTGGAGAAGATCTTTTCACGTCCAGTACGGGCATGGATACCCACCATAGTGACGCCAATAGGCCAGGGAGCATTACCAATAGCCATCTGTAGGTAGGCGTCGTTTGCCTGGAATGAAAACTGGTTGTTAAAATATGCACTGATGGATAGGCATTAGTCAAAAGCAGAGTGAACTGATAGTGTACCTTAACATATTCTCTCTCCAGCATGAATTTAATTATATCTGTGATGGACTCTTTTATGTCAGGTGGTAAATTCTGAAAGAAATACAAAACATAAAAAAATATTTCATGTGTCATTTCAGCTCAAATACAAATCAGCTTTGAACATTTATTCTTAAAAAGAATCACCTTCTTCCTGAGCTTTTTAAAGAGAGGCTCCAGGTAAGACTCAGTCTGCGAATGTGTTGCACTGGCAACCTTCCCCTGAACGCTGCGCTTCACGTGGTCCTCTCTGCTGTTCAGGTCTTTGGCCCAAACACCCAGAAGAAACTATAAAACCAAGAGGAAATATGGTTTTAGGAATCTGCTAACAAACAACTCTAAACAAATGGATTACCACTGGTTCATAGGTTCAGTCAGGTCAGTAATAACTATTAGGTTTTGACACTGTATAAATGAAATGCCTATATTAATAGCAATGCGGTATAATGTAAAAGAACAGGTTACAAGCTGAAAATAAAAGATTTCCTTCAAAAATATTATTATACAGAGGTGAAAAGTAAAAAAAAAAAAAAAAAAAAAAAAAAATTTCAACATAAAGTTCAAATTACAACTATGGAGTTTGTAACTCAACCAAAACTAGGTAAAACTTGTTTTACTGAAAGGTTTTTAGAGGATCATCGAGTTGATAAAGTTTGTTCAGCTTTAATTAAACACACCTGCCCATTTAATATGGTCTCCTGTGAGGCATGGTGTAAATTACTTTCTTTTAAACGAGTTAGAATAGATTTCTAGGTTATATCCTTGATATATTTTACTGGGGTGCACAGTGGTACAGTGGGTAGCACTGTTCCCTTGCATCAAGAAGGTTCTAGGTATTATTCCTGTGTATGGAGTTTGCATGTTCTCCCTGTGTACGAGTGGGTTTCTCTCCGGGTACTCTATCTTCCTCCCACAGTACAAACACATGACTGTTAGGCCAATTGGCTTCTCTACATTTTTCTTAGCTGTGAGTGTGTGTGAGTGTGTGCGTGTGTGTATGGATGTGTGTCTCTGTGCTGCACTGCGACAGACTGGCGACCTGTCCAGGTACCGCCTCTGCGGGCACCGGCCGCACCACGATCCTAACAAGGTCTGAGCAGGAGAAAATGGATGGATGGATAGATTACTGGATAGGACATCCCCTATCCATAACTATAGCTAGGGATGGGCCATTGCTATGCAATGAGTTGCCAAAAAAACCCATTCTGCTCTAATGAGGAATAAGCATGGATCCGTCATAAAAATTGTTGTAGCATACTTATTTACGTATTTTTTATCTAATCTTTTAAAAATATGGTCCAACTTAGAGCTGAAAAAAATGCAGATGTTATGATGAATACAAATATGTGCTCTGCCTAAACATAAATCCATAAACAGTGTGGGAAGCATGCATTACATACAGGGGTTATCACTAGGATTTTTTTTACTGGTGTAGCGCAAAAAGTAAATTGTTTATTTTCTTTTTCAATGTTGGGAGGAGATGTTGATATCTCCCTTAATATGCAAACTACCGTAGTGAGTTAGGTATAGTTTGCATATTAATCATCTGCAGTGATGATTAATGTGTGGTTGTTCATTCTCTATTGGCTTTAATGAAAAATTAAGTTAAATTAATATGCTAAGAAAAGAAGGTTAATGGGACTATAATCTTCAGGAGAAAGCCTGGACACCGGCAGCAGCGGGATATCAGTTGTCAATAAGATTCGGCACCAAGAACTGAAAATCGATTGGAACTGGTTCTGACCTTTCAATTCTTCTGGAATCGATACATTCTCAGTCCACCAACCGGAAAAAAGCTGCTTAATATCGGCGAAAAAGAATCTGCAGTGAGCAACCATCTGTTTTTGATGCAGCGTTTTAAAGTGTGGCTTACAGTGAATTAAAGACATGACCACCCTGCTACCTGTAACACTGGCGATGGGATTATATGCAAAGGATGGTGCAGGACCAACATGATTAAACACCAACTCAAAATATCTCTGACCCGCTTCACCGGTTTTATAAGACAGGTTTCTCGAGGGAATTTTTCCCCCTCTTAATTTGTGGCACACCTTCTGCAGGGAGGGCCAAACCCATTTCATACTTTCTTCCTCTTGCTTTAGCTCCTAACAGATCACAGCCTCTTTTCCTGTGCATTGTGGATTGAACCATACAGACTTTAATCTAAATCTGCCAGACTTATTAATGATTTTAAACATGATTTATCAATTTTTCCCCTCATTTCATTTGGAATCTGATTCATATGATAAAACCCACTAACTAAATGACAAAGTATGAAATTACATTTTCCTCTCTACACAAAAGTCAAACAGTACTTCTGTGTCTAGTTGACTGGAATTGAGGTGCAGTAAATTACAGTGTATAATATATAACATATAAATTCCAAAAGGTATTCCAGCAGAGTGTGAGTGCTGTGCTGCTTGTTCCTCCAGCTCTGCTGTCTGGCACAATGTCACAGTCAGAAAAGAAAATAAGTTGGGTTAGCTTGTATAAAATGAAGCAGATGTATGATTTACGCAGATTACCATGCAAAAAATTTACTTTTAAACACTGACTACATCCTGCACAACTTTCTCTGCTCTACCAATCTTTTCTACAGTGTAAAATAAGTATGAAAGGATGGTTGTCTACCAATCTTTTACTTTTTGGCATCTTTGCCAACTGCCCTCTGTTTCATTCCTTTGTTTCATACTTGGAGGGACCGATTTTATCTCCCCATTTTGTAAATTGACCAAGTCTGAGGTTGCTACTGTGGCAGAGGGGGCAGCTATACAGCAGCAGAGAAACACAGCTGCATTTTGTCAGCTAAGAAAAAGAAAAAAACAATATGACAATGGGGCAGTTTGGCTTTAAAACCCCTTTTAAACCTTCCTAAGATTGTTATCTATGTTACAGTTTCACGTCATTGGAGTTACCAGGTGAGGGGCCAGGCTCCACTTGGGTTGTGATGGTGACATAATAATATATTTTTTTCAATTGTTATTATTTTTTTAGATGGCTACTTTTCCACACACTAAAAAACATTTATTTATTACAAAAAATCAAAGAAAAACAAAAAAAAACAATGGGAGGGTATTTTTGTGCTTGGACTGTTTCTGGAAGCAGCAGTCTCCTTTACAGAACAGGTACATTTTATGCCCACTTTTAATATCATCACATCCTCATCATGCTTATCTTGCCCCGTTTTACAAGTAAAGGATGATAAGCTAGTAATCTTCCCCAGTTCATCCAGAAATGATCACATATTATAACTCAATTTAGTCCAACACAATATTTATAAAGAAAGTGGATGAAAAATACATTGATATTAGTGAATAAAAAAAGTGAAACTATATTATTAATCAGCTCCCTCTAGACAAATCGGGCAGTTTCTTTAGTCTTACCTTTAAAAATTTGGCAATGACATCCTGATCTCCACTATCATCCCCAGTGCCCAAGGTGTTTCCAAGAGCCTAGACAGGAATTTGGAAAAAAGAGAAAATACATTAGAAAATGCTATAATAAATGGTTCATGATTAATCAAATATGAATACTGAAATATTTGATCAAATCTAATTTTACTACTAGAATGTTTTTGGGTATTTCCCCCCTTTTTAACATTCTGCTGAGTTTTTACCTCAAGCTCTTCTATGGTGGTGTTTTCTTCGTGAACTTTCAGATCGTGCTGCGTGTCTGGTTCCCCCGACTCTGTTCCTCCAACAATTTCGTTCAGATATTGCTGGTCGATCTTATCCATGGCTGCTTTCAGGTCATTCCTTAAACCCTGGAGCCATTAAAAACATATTAAGGTGCTGACCAAACCCAAAATAAATCCAACACTTAGCCTTAAAGTGGTTTTGTTTTTGAGCTTTCTAGGACTTAGCAGCAATACAGGTTCCTTGATTTTATTATTTTTTTTACCTTGTTTACTTCTGGGGTCAAAATCTCAATTTTTCTGAGTCTCTGGAAGGCATCATAATCTGATTCTCCAAACAATCTGATTGGTTCCCCTCGCTCTCGAAGCCGTCGAATTACCTGCACAAATAGTGCCAAGAACAAAATTTACACTGCAACAGAAAAGGAGTTGGTGGTAAATAGGAGCATATACTGGCTGACTGACCTCTTGTCGCGAAAGAGTCATCGGCAGCTTCTCCTCGGTTAATTCAAGCTCCAACACCGGGTTAGCTGAAGTGGACGGTTCATTCTCCTCCGTTTTAACAATCTTCAGGACAGCATGGATGAAAAGAGAAATAATGAATATGGGAAAAAAATTGGTAAAATATAAAAACTTCATCACATGGAAAGGTTATTTCCTTGCAAAAAATGCAAATTAAAATAAAATATCTATGTGCAAAAAGTGTTCTTTTTTTCAATTGGTTAGTTTTACATGGTGATTTTTTTTGTACCTTTTTTCCTTTGTTTTAGAAATAATAATTGAGCGAGCCTTTTCTAACATTCTACAGTGTAAATTAAGTAAAAAAGGCTGGTGGGATTCGTGCTGATATTGTATCGGGTCAATATTGGTATCGGCCAAATCGCAAAGCCGCAATATTGGTATCATAACGGAAATGAAAAAGTTGTATCGGGACACCCCTACCTAAAATGAAGTCAAGTTCACATGTACATCTGAACTCCATACAGCAATAAATGTAGAATACAGTGCCATGCAAAACTACCTAAAAGCTTTTTCATAATAGTGACAATATATTTGCAAACGTAAATGTATTAAGTGAGATTTTCTGTGACACATCAACACAGTGGCAAGACAGAGGAAAATTACAAGCGGTTTATAAAGCTCTGAACCTAAACAAAACATTATGAAACGTGTGGTATTTGTTTGGGTTTTCTTTTGTGCTTTTTACTTTAATACGCAGGAATAAAATCAAGTGCTACGAATATTCTTCTAGCCGGACAAAGAAAGCACTGATCAGAGGAGCAGCCAGGAGGCATAAGGTAGGAGAGACGAACAGATCCATGGCTCAGGCCAGGAAATATACCGTATTGAAACAACAACAGCTGGCCATGCACTTCCCTTAGCTGACTTAATAGAAGAGTGGCATGAAGAACGCAACTGCTGAAGAAATCCTTAAGACATCGGGTCTGTAGTTTTCAACATAAGGGACAGAGCAGAGATATGGAAGAAGGGAAACTGGTTGGATGAGATTTACATTTTACTCTTTGTCCTATATGAAAACATTGTGTGTGGGGAATGGTGGTGATGCAGGGGTAAAGACCACAACCCATGTATGGAGGCCTCAGTCCTCGTCACAGCTGTCACGAGTTTGCGTCTCAGTCTGTTGACCTTTGCCAAAGGTCTTCGCCTTCTCTTTCAACCCCATCTTGCCCGTTAACTTTCAAATGATATAATGTGTGGGCGAACACTGGGCATCAAGTGTGCCATTCTATAGGGATGCAAAGGGGTGGTGGCAGCATCATGCTTTAGGGCTATTTTTCTTTACTCATGCTGTTGAAGGCGCTGATCAGATATGGTGGACAGAAGGAGGTAAATGCAAGGAAAACCTTGCAAAAACTTGTTAGAAGTGGCAAAAGATGAGGGGCTGGGATGGGGGGAAAATACCCTAAGCACACAGCTAAAGGTACAGTTGAATAGTTTTGATCTGAGAATATTGGTGTATCAGATCGAGCCACTCAGGTTCCGTATATTAAACTGAAAGCCCATGGTGAAACGTGAAGATCTATCTATCCAAAATGACATACAGGTGCTGTACATAAAATTAGAATATCATGAAAAAGTAGATTGATTTCAGTAATTCCATTTAAAAAGTGAAACTTGTATATTATATTCATACATTACATACAAACTCATATATTTCAGATGTTTATTTTGTTTAATTTTGATGATTACAAATGACAACAAATGAAAATCTCAAATTCATCATATCAGAAAATTAGAATATTGTGAAAAGGTTCAAAATTGATGGCCCCTGGTGCCACACTCTAATCAGCTAATTAACTCAAACCACCTGCAAAAGCCTTTAAATGGTCTTTCAGTCTAGTTCTATAGGCTACACAATCATGGGGAAGACTGCTGACTTGACAGTTGTCCAAAAGACGACCATCGACACCTTGCACAAGGAGGGCAAGACACAAAAGGTCATCGCTAAAGAGGCTGGCTGTTCACAGAGCTCAGTGTCCAAGCACATTAATAGAGAGGCGAAGGGAAGGAAAAGATGTGGTCGAAAAAAGTGTACAAGCAAGAGAGATAACCGCACCCTGGAGAGGATTGTGAAACAAAACCCATTCAAAAATGTGGGGGAGATTCACAAAGAGTGGACTGCAGCTGGAGTGAGTGCTTCAAGAACCACCACACACAGACGTATGAAAGACATGGGTTTCTGCTGTCGCATTCCTTGTGTCAAGCCACTCTTGAACCACAGACAGCGTCAGAAGCGTCTTGCCTGGGCTAAAGAGAAACAGGACTGGACTGCTGGTGAGTGGTCCAAAGTCATGTTCTCTGATGAAAGTAAATTTTGCATTTCCTTTGGAAATCAAGGTCCCAGAGTCTGGAGGAAAAGAAGAGAGGCACTTCATCCACGTTGCTTGAAGTCCAGTGTAAAGTTTCCACAGTCAGTGATGGTTTGGGGTGCCATGTCATCTGCTGGTGTTGGTCCATTGTGTTTTCTGAGGTCCAGGGTCAACGCAGCCACATACCAGGAAGTTTTAGAGCACTTCATGCTTCCTGCAGCTGACCAACTTTTTGGAGATGCAGATTTCATTTTCCAACAGGACTTGGCACCTGCACACAGTGCCAAAGCTACCAGTACCTGGTTGAAGGACCATGGTATCCCTGTTCTTAATTGGCCAGCAAACTCTCCTGACCTTAACCCCATAGAAAATCTATGGGGTATTGTGAAGAAGAAGATGCAATACACCATACCCAACAATTCAGAAGAGCTAAAAGCCACTATTAGAGCAACCTGGGCTATCATAACACCTGAGCAGTGCCACAGACTGATCGACTCCATGCCACGCCGCATTGCTGCTGTAATACAGGCCAAAGGAGGCTCAACTAAATACTGAGTGCTGTACATGCTCATACTTTTCATGTTCATACTTTTCAGTTGGCCAACATTTCTATAAATCCTTTGTTTTTATTGGTCTTCAGTAATATTCTAATTTTCTGATATGATGAATTTGAGATTTTCATTTGTTGTCATTTGTAATCATCAAAATTAAACAAAATAAACATCTGAAATATATGAGTTTGTATGTAATGTATGAATATAATATACAAGTTTCACTTTTTAAATGGAATTACTGAAATCAATCTACTTTTTCATGATATTCTAATTTTATGACCAGCACCTGTATCTTGAACATATTTTGTGGGGATAAGTTGGGCAGAAATTCAGCTTTTAGTTGTACAGAGCTCATATAGACATACTACTAAAAGTGTGTGCTGCAAGTCTTGTCAATTAATTGAAAACCATACTTCTTATTTGCCGTGCCTTTACAATTATGCATCACCTGGAACCTGTATAATATCCGAGATAAGCACATTGCCATTTGTATCTAAAATGCAAGGTAGTTCATGGGCTATGAAAGCTTTTGCACGGCACTGTTTATCAACTAGTTGAACAAAGTATTTCACAGTGTCAGATTTCAACATTCTTTGCACACTCAAAAGCCAAACTGAGGATAAAGCATATTCAATGCAAAAAAGAAAACTTGGAAAAAGAAAAAAAAATCATGCATTAATGTACGCATGCATCTCAGCCTTTAAGATTGTGGTTGTAGCTGCAGGCTAAAGGACCAACTATAAAATGGTAATAAGATTGTTTTCAAAAAATAAAAATTTACTAAACATAATACATTACATTAAGTAGAAAGGCGAAGAGATTTGTTTGTTTTTTTTACTTTGGGAAAATATATTTGAAGGGATTGCCAAAGTAATAAGGACAAAAAAAAAAAAAAAAATCACAGGCCACTTGTAGTTGGTCTAAAATTTCCATCTCATTTCAGAAATATTCTGCATTAAAAAAAAAAGCACAGCCGGATCAAATAAAGTGGTTATTTTTAAATGTATATGCCACACTAAGAAAAAAAAAAAAATCATGCTGTGTCCCTTTTAAGCTTTATCTCTTCTTTCCTTATCTACTTCCCTTTGAACAAAAAGTTTTAGGACTTCTACTAGCTGAATAAAGGTTGATTTTAAAATTTGAGTAACTGCATTTCTTGGATTACTATTCTAGTCAATAGAACCCCCAGTTTTTTTATCCATATTAACCAGAGAAGATGCCAAGGAAGTAGAAGCCTCAGGGACACAGATCTTTTCATCATGCATCCTGTTTGCTACTTTCACTGAGTAATCCCATACCTGGCTCTTAGGAGTCTCTGTCTGAACCTACAGGTGTAGGCAGTAGAGGCAGGTTGTGGAAAAACAACATAGTAAACAAAGACACTCATGTAGACTAGAACATAAGGTCCTGGACCAGGATTTAAGTAAAATGAAACTTTACAGCAATGCTAGAGACAAAATTGAAAACGTTAAATTATTAAGCTGTTTAAGCATGTTTAAAATAACAGAGTAAGAAAAATGCTCATGTTATTTACCTTATATCCACACCTTTTAAAGTATTCTTCTTTTTCCTTGCGTGCAAGATCAGCCCTTTTGAAGCATTTTGTGGATTCCTGAAAAATGACAATTGGATGTGTTACTTTCAAAGGACACAGCATATTTAGTAATGAACATTCCCCAACATGGTAAGACCGTCTCATGTTCAATGGAAGGTTGGTTTGTGAAATCTCCAGCTGAGCACCACATAATACAATAAATTGATATTAATATGGACTATGCAATGCACAAATCACAGCAAAAGTAAGAGATAAGAGAAAGGGGAAACAAATCAACACTGGTGCACTTATAGTAGTAACCAAGTCAAGAGTTTGGTGATGAGAATTCCTTCCTGATCGCTGTGTTATTGTTGTTGCTCTTTCTTTAAAATCTGAATGCAATATCAGAGATTACTATTAGTGTGTCTGCTGCATGATTAACTAAACGCCCATGCTCTTAATCCGGTTTAGATTAGATTTCTCTTAAAAAATCTCTTCAAATGTAATTTCGATTATTGCATGTTTTTGCTGCTTTTGTAACAGGCAACATATGCAACATAGTGTAAAGACTGATATAACATTTGAATCCCGTTTAAAATATGTTTTTAGACTTTTCCTAATTCACCTGGCACATTTCATTGGAAAATCACTCCAAATACATTTTGTTTTCATCTGGGTCAACAATTGCTCTCAGTTAGACCGTCCAAAATTGTGAAGTTATTTCAAATATTTAAACGGGAATATTTATTTTAAGTAAAACATTATTGTTAAATGTGGCAGAGTAGCAAGTACAAAGAATAAAGATAAAAATAAAACCTAAATATTGAGCTAAACGTCTCATCCCCGGATGTGGTTAAAATAAAGCTTTAAAAGTTGCAAAAACAACGGCAAGCATATTTTGCTACAAGTTCAAACTCTGCGAGTTTTTTTAGTTGAAATACATAATTAGGGGGATTTTTTAAACCAGTTGTTTATAAGGAGCGTTCCTTTATATTAGATTGTTGTTGTTTTCTTAAAGGATGTTTCTAGAAAGAAACTGCTTTAACAATGCTAACAATGCTAAGCTACTTGTAACCGTGACCTAAGCAGAGAAGATTTAGAAATACTAACGTCAACAAGCTGTTTCTCTTCGAGAAGTTTCCTCTTCCTTGCTATTTCAGCTTTTAAAATATCCATTTCATAAAGATAATGTTTATAAACGTTTTATGTAGCGGAGAGCTACGCTCGTGCCCTCAAATGGCTGAACCGGAAGCTAAACTGGCCCTGAATCTTCGAAATAAGAGTCAGCTTGGCAAGTTTATGTGAATATTTCAAAATAAAAGTTGCAATAAAATTAAATTTTCTTGAGGTTTGGAAAAGCAGATCAAACTCTACGAAAGTTTTCACATTATTGTCCATTCAACTAAAACCTTTAGTTTTTAGTGTAATTTATTAGGAAAAGTAGCTTGACACAAAATGACACAAAGCTTTTCTCAGAAACGTTCATATCTGATTAATTTATTTTAAATGAAAAAGTCACAAGATGATCATGGTAGATATGGCCAAAGACAGCTACTCTATTCAAAATAGACCAAAACTTTCCACACTCCCTTCTATGTCCTGCAGAAACCTGACACAACACCTCACCGTTTACAATGTCTGAAAAATTATGATAGCACTACCCTGCTTGTGATACTTCTAAAAAAAATGTGGATAAAGTTAATATAGTGATGACCCAATCTGACACTGATATCTGAAATCTGTCCATTATCAGGCAAAAAAAAACCCAACATTCGAATAAAACTGCACCTACAATCTCTCATGTGAGCAAAAACACTCAACTGCTGTTTAAAATTTATATAACCCATTAGCAAACAATACATAGGTCAGTTTCTCTTCAAAATGTTGGTGTTCACTGTTGTTCCCCTTTTGCGTAATATTCTTTGTTCAAGCCTTTTCTAAAATGTCACACTACTAAAGCTTCAACATACGCATCCTATTGGAAATAAAAATTCATGTAGCTTAATGGAAGGTAGTCTGGCGGAAAGCCTGTGTGGTTGTAAAACCTTTGAGACCGGTGTGGATGGTCACCTTGCAGCGGAAGCCTAAACATAATGTCCTGCCCAAGGCAGAACCAAACGCAGCCACTGCTTAGAGCCCCAAAACCATCAGGGGCCTCCCATAGATGCTAGAAGTTTAACACAGACCGCACCTCTAAAGGTTTTATATTATTTATTTTATTTTATAGAAAAAAGAGTAGGGTAGCATTGGACAGAAATCTTTGTCTTATTTTAACGATGTATACTAAAACCTTGACAAATACAGACAACAAGTGGACAAGAAGAAAGAAAAAACAACGAAAACAGTACATCAACCACCAACAGAACAAAAACAGATAGAATGTAGAAATAAAAAATAAATGGAAATTAGGAAAACATGTTACAAATAACTGGTAAACGAGTACATTAAAAAAGTAAAATTTTTTGAAAAATGGAGGGTGGCAGTACAGGACACTGTTATGGCCAATAAGGGACTCTGCTCTGTAAAATGTTTTCTCTGACCCTTGAATTCTTTCCAAATCCACACATAACATTATATCCCTAATCCTGTATGACTGACGGGGAGGACAAATCTTTTCACCAAAGCAACACTAAGCCTCCAGTCAGTACGGATGAAAGGACCAAAAGGCTAGCACCTTGAGTTTGGATCTAAGTAATTCCATTATGATCTGATTGGATCATAAAAGAGATCAGAGATGATCTAAAAAAAAAAAAACAGATGTCCAAAATTAGCTAGGAAAAAACAGCATTTATCACTTATAGGGTCTACATCTGGGTATATAATGCTAGTCTGGCCGCAGAAAGGTGCATACAAGATTGTGGCCGTGGTGCACAGTGAGTGTGACTCATGTATGGAGGCATTAGTCCTCCAGTGTGGTTTTCGTTGGTTTAAGTCTATTGACCTTTGCATGATTTTGCCCTTATATCAGGGTTATCCCTGGACAACCTGTGGGCCTGAAAAAACTTTAAAGTGTATAGAGGCAGTTCCAAACTTAGAGGCCAGACATTGACCCTGATAATTGTATTTTTACAACAGACTAGAAAGCAGTAGGTTTTACAAACAGGTTTAAACAATTTTAGTATAAAGCAAATACTGTTAGGTTTTTTTTTTTTTTTTTTTTTTTTTTTTTTTTTTTTTTAGTACTAGTTGTTTATTTTAATATTTAAAGATTTATGCTTTTCACTTGTTTTTTAAGTAGGTTAATATATTTTGAAGTAGTTTTTTAATGTGTTCAAACATTTGAAACATTATAAATTAAACTGTGTTATATAAATTAAACGGTAATATGTGAAAATAAAACTTTTTAGAGCGACAGTTTTAAAACCTTTGCTCTGTGTTGGAAAGGTTAAAAAAGGAATACAATGACAGGCACTTCTGTAGGGGCTGATTTTTATTAGATTCATTTTTTTTACACTTTATTGGATTGGAAATGATAAGTCTTTAAAAAGCAGTTTTGAAACTGATTTTAAGTGAAGATTTAACATATAACACGCGTTTGTATTATTCTTTTACCGGTAATTCTGAGTTAATGCGGTGCAGAGACCTGGTTAAAATGAATGAATGAATCATACCATCAGGTGGCGCAAAGGGATATGTCACGAATTGTTAATATTAAAGTCATTAATGTTTTCACATGGCGAAAGGAAAAGAGCAAGGAAATCACTTTCACCAAGAGCTTTTTGGGGGTTAATTTAAATCTAAAACGGCGAGAATAATCCAATATCAGGATTAAAAACCTTACAGGAGGGAGGATTGTTGATTAATAAAGCAGATTGAGTGATTTTGCGCTGAGTGCCTCCTATAGGCTGGCCTCTGGTGTTCTGCCGAGGATCTCTCTCTGCTACTCGACTTTCTGGATCATTTTATTGGAAGATGGAGTTTGGGGAAAGGAAGAGGAGAAGAAAGTCTCAGAGCTTCAAACTGGTGACGGATGAAGGTAGGCTGCTGTGTGTCTGGCTGTTTGTCTGGTTCCAGCAGAGACCATCCGCAGACAGAAAGGGATGGCCACGACAATGCAGCGTCCCTCCATCTATTTTAATATGCAATCCGTTAAATATTATTGTGTAAATCAAAAGCAACACATAAAAGCGGAAGAAAAACAACGCTCCATATGCATCCGGATTTAAAGGATTTTTCCTTTAGATTGAGGATAATGTAAACACCTGTTCCGCACGGGTATTCTGATGAAAACAGCTTTAATTGTTGACTTTTTTGGGTGAATAAATAGACTCTAGAACATGTGAATGAAGAGCTACTCTATGCAACCCACAGGTGGCGGTTCCTGCTCTGTTTCTACCTGCAGAGATTCATCCTTTCAATTATGATACCATAATTTTCCCTACATTTTCTTCATTATCTAGCTTTTTTGTTGTTGTCTAGATTTGGACTCTTCATACGTGATGAATTCCAGCTCAAGAGATGTGAATGGCCAAAGTAAGTATTCTGCTGCTGTAACCCAAGGTTTGTGTCAAGGATTCTTTAACATATAGTTCCTGAAAAGCCTTAGAAATACCGTAAGAAATTTGATTCCATGCATCCTTTTTGGGTATGAAAAAAATATTTTTGAGATGTTTATTTTTGTGGAAAATTAACTAATATTGTCATAATGAGTCTTTATTTTGTCTCACTATAACTTGAATTTTTGTCCTAGCCATAGATCATTTTAGGATTTAATAATCACAATCATTTGAAATAAAAATGGCAGCTTCACTTTTTCTTTTAGTATAGATTCACCCATCAAATGGTGAAAGATCAGAATTTTTTTTCCTAAATTGCCATTTCTTCATTTCATTTAAGCCTGTGCTTCAGATCTCAGATAAAACCAGAAATTCACATCCACTAGGAAAGGTCAGAAATGTAGATTTTTTTAGGCTTTAGAATCTGCTTTTGAGAATTATTTGTATTAGAGCACCGACTGATCCAACATCGCATTTGATCTCGGACAACAATGAGATATTTCTTAATTACGACAAAAAAAGGACAACAGACTTTTAGCTGAATATTTTGATCTGATAAAAAGAATAAAAATATAACACGATACAAGAGATGAGAAGACCAACTATATAATTTGTAACCGCTTCAATTAAGATATCATTACTTATACCTAGCCCTCTATTCTCTTTATGTAGTTTGGATGGGGGACGAGAGCATGGGAATCAAGAAACAGATCACTGGAATGATGAGGCTCCTGGGTGATAAGACTGGAAGCTTCCCTCTGTGCTCAGAGGCAGAACATAACGGCTCAACAAAAGATGGCAAAGTGACCTGTAGACACACACCTTCAATTTTATCGTTTGTGTCGGATGGTAGACAGAGCCAAAGCTGGAACTCAGTAGGGGGCACAGAGCCTCCACCATCATCCACATCAACATCACTAGCAAATGGTCCAGGCTGTGGCCAACAGAGTACCTGCTCCAGAGGGCTCACAAATGAAAACACAACAAAGGATTTAATAAAACCTGTTGCAACAAAAGGTAAGGTGTCAGGGAAATTCAAGAGGAGGAAATTCCTGAACATATGAAGTTTTCATGCCTCCTTAATTGTTTCAGATTTATTCACATAACAAACTTTGATATGTCTTATCGGTACTTTGTGTAATAAAAAAACGCACATTTTGGAATGAAAAGAAAATATTTTAGTTGATTTTCAGAATTTTGCTATAAGTGCAACTCTGAAAAGTATTGCATGGATTGGTGTTCAGCCGCTCTGCCACGACCAGAACAGTAGGACTAGATTTCTCAAGACATTTATTAGCAATGTATCTGCAGGGAACAGTGTGGACTTCTAAGCAGGAACCTCTGCAGGAAGAGAACACAGGTTAGTGACCACGACAATCTGGTGGAGGATGATAATGAACATGTGAGTTTAACCTGGTCTTATAGTTGAGTCTGTGCACAGAGGATGAGGTTGGCTCCAGCCAGTCTGCTTCCAACAAGATGTGGTGGGCGCTGCCCAGAGAGTCCCAGCCGTTGAAGTCCCGGAGTTTGAAGGACAGGCAGGGGATCATAGCCAAGCAGACCAAGGAAGGCAGGATAATCAACAAAGTCGGTGTTGAGAAATAGTTCCGGGTTCGGATCACAGACAGGCAGAAATCCGGCAGGAATCAGAAGACAGGTCAGGCAAACAGATCAGAACAGGAACAGGCAGGCTCAGCATTCCAGAGGCGGAATGGGCCAGGATCAGGCAATCAGAAAACTCATGTATGCTGGAGAACTCTTACCAAAGGCTCCAAATAATCTTGCGCTGATTACTGGTTGAAGGCTGGTTAAATAGAGGCTGAAGCAGGTGGATCAGATGAACTGTAATGAGAACTGGGTGGAGCTAGCCAGGTGAATGGAATGAGTATTTCAGGCCAGTCATCAGCGCCAAGATAATGGCTGTGTCCGAACGTCTAACCCCTAGATCCCTCAATCACTATATAGAGCGGGGACTACATAGTGGACTTTATACTGAACTCAGTTAACTGACCGTTCCGACAGATGATCACTACTTTTTGCTCCCCACACTGTATCTGCACCATCTTTGTTATTAGTCGCCACAGCCTATGGCCACAGTAGACCTCTGTGACAGCAAATCCTAAAATGCTTGCGAGGAGCGCTCTACTCGCAAAGCATTCAGTTATATATCTTTTCGTCTATTGACCATGGAGGATCACTACTTTTTAAGGAGTGTTGTGGGAAATTTCGAGTCCACTACTTTTTCATCCGCTAGACATTCGGACACTCATTTAAAATACCGTAACCACTATATAGTGCCCCAAATAGTGATTAAGCCAACGGATTTAAAGTTGATGTATTTTTGTATTTGAAACAGCCCATGACACACTCTGAGCCTTGACGTTTCTTATACAGTTAATGGCTTTTTTTTTATTTCTTCCTTTTTGCTACCCCTTCATAAAGGACAGAAGTGTGTAGAGGACCATCTGTCTCACAGATTTTTCCCTCTGAAACTGTGGGTTTTTGAAGCCGTCAAGAGCTTTCCGGACCTATTGGTTTAGGTATATACAGATGTCTTTGTAATTTTTCCTTTGTTATATTTTCTTTCCATTTTCAGGTGAGTGGTCTATGAATGCTACATAAGATGTCTACATTTTGAGATTTCCTTTTGTTTGTTTGTTTTTTAACCCAACCCTGCTTTTCTTCTTCATTACAACTTTATCCCTGGGTAGGTCTTTACCAATGTCTAATAACAAACTAGGTCTTCACAGAAAAGTTGGTACAACACAAAACTGCTGCTAGGTAGACAGTATTTAGTATTTAGGTGACTACTGAAGGTAACTGAATTCATTGTATTTCATTTTTCAGGGTGGATCAGTGTAAGTGAATACAAACACATGCCACACTTTTCATTAGCTTGTTATTTTTCATAATTTTAAAATCTATGTGGTTGGGATATTTGATAGGGCAGCTGTCCAGGGCGGCATTAGAAAGTGGGGTGTTAATACACCTTAAAAAATTCTGCTGTTAGGAACTTCTTTGTGTTCAATTATTGCAAAAAAAACAAAACAAAAAAACTCCCAAATCTGTTTTTGCAATTTTACAAGAGTATTTATAAAAGCTAAAAAGGCATGATGTTTTAATAAAGCCATGGTTCTTCTTAAAAGGTCAAACAGAAGCACAACATTTTTAAATGTTTGCAGTTACAGATATATGGAAACTATCCCTCCATCCATCCATCCATTTTCCGTCACGCTTATTCCAAGCCGGGGGAGCTGGTGCCTATCTCCAGCTGTCTACGGGCGAGAGGCGGGGTACCCCCTGGACAGGTCGCCAGTCCATCGCAGGGCAACACAGAGACAAACAGGACAAACAACCTTTCACACACACACTCACACCTAAGGAGAATTTAGAGAAGCCAACGAACCTAACAGTCATGTTTTTGGACTTTGGGAGGAAGCCAAAGTACCTGGAGAGTGCCCAGGCATGCTCAGGGAGAACATGCAAACTCCATGCAGAAAGACCCAAAGCTGGGAATTGAACCCAGAACCTTCTTGCTGCATAGCAACAGTGCTACCCACTCCTCGACTGAGCAGCCCATATATGGAAATTAACTGTGTTTAATTATGCATATTAACGAGAAAAAAATAACAAACGTTAGCACTTCTTACTTTCCACCAGATGGGCTTCATCCTCCTGTACCAGAGATCCCCTGCTGCATGTGTAACTGTAAGGGCACCCTACAGGCGATACTGCATGAGTTGCGAGCAATGAGGAGGATAATGCAGAATCAGAAAGGTCAGGACACGGACTTGTAATATGAATAGGACAGAAACAAAAGGCAAACATAACATGTTGTTATTGTTTTAGGAACTTCTGCAAGACGGGAGCAAGCTAAATCATTTCAATCTTACATCAGCCTGGGTTCAGCTTCATGCCGCAAAGCCCAGAAGAGAAAGGTGGCTCCACTAAGTGTCTGCAGCACAAGAAGAAAGGCTCTTTCTTGTCTGGGGGCTTCTCACCAGAAAGACAAATCTACAGAAGCTGCAAAGAAAGAAGAATATGAGAAACTAGAGTCATGTACAATTTCCGGGGATGTTCCTGAACTACTACCTCAGAATGACCAAGTAGCAGACTGTGTCAAAAAAAGTTCTCTTCTGAATCAACTAAGGGAACATCAAGCATTGGAGGCAAGGGCCTAAGTTTGTTTATGATTTTGATGCCTTTCAATCTATTAAGACCCAATTTCTATAGCAGTTTACAAGATAGATGAGTAGAAATGTATGCTTTTACAGAAAGCCATAGGCATCTTGTTGATGCATTAAGTGCTATGATAACATCCTCATGTTTTCTATTACAATGCATCCACAACATTTATGTCATGGTTAGATTAAATTTGTTGACATTTTGCTGTTGACTTCCTCACAGTCTGAGGTTCGTCTTGCTGAAGATTATGATGTTTTCATCTCAAAGGCCCAGCTAGACTCCATTTTGATTAACTATACACGTTCTGGCAGCCTGCTGTTTCGCAAACTGGTATGTATCCATTCCCAAGCTTAAGATTTACAATTAAAAAAATGAGGATGACCTTAGACATTGTTTCTAGCTTCTGCACCTTAGATATAAGATTCATTTCTGCATCTCTTGGTCTTTATATCATATTTTGCACTTTATTTAAAAAAAAAAATATATATATATATATATGCTAGAGTATATCTAAAATACTATTAAAATACTAAGCAAAAATGGGGTTACATGTACTGTTAAGTACACAAAAAGAGTTCTGTTTTCAAAAAATAATGTAGTAACAGTAATCCTACAAATTAATTTGTGGTAGTTAGTCATGATTAAGGAAAAGTTAAGTAATTGCAATTCTCTCTTGGCATGATATCAGTATAAATATGGCATTTATATCACTCCACAGTTGTTGAAGACATTTATTATTACCTGTAAAGGTGTCAAACTATAAAAGGACTGGTACGTCATTTCATCTTTTGGAGGACTGCCTCTCATATAGGCTTAAACATCTTATATTGGTTGACCAGTAGTCCGCATTATGTGGGGCGATACTCTGGAGTTTAAGACATATTTACTTAAATGCAAAGAAACAACCAATACATAAAAATCTATTATAATAAGCCTTACTGATACAAGAAAATCTTATTGCACTGGTGTCCATCACTAAGCATAAAATAACCACGATTATTTAATATGATCTGTGGCATTTCTATAAAAAAAATATTAAGTGAATAAACTAATTGCTCAAGGGCTGTGTTTTGTTTTCAGGTATGTGCCTTTTTTGACGATGCTACTTTGGCAAACTCTGTGCCAAATGGCAAAAGGAAGCGAGGGCTCAACGACAACCGAAAGGGTTTGGATCAGAACATTGTCGGTGCTATTAAAGGTGAGGGACAAATACAGGCCAAGGAAAAGAGTTTTGGGGGTTTATTACATTTATATCAACCTTTATATTTTGTAAATTTATGTTAAGTGTTTACAGAGAAGTACTGCACTGAACACAGAATAGAGAAGCTGCCTGGACCTCGAGACTGGGTGCAGATTCTTCAAGATCAGATCAAACTTGCTAGGAGAAGGCTGAAAAGAGGTTTTCTGCTATTTGTCATTAATGCTACTAGTTTTACATCGTATATATTATCAACCAAATCTTCCATTTGTCTCATCAGACTACAGTTACTTTAAGATGTTTTAATGTCTTTGTTTATCTTTGGTCAGTGCTTGTTATTGATGTCATTTTTAATACGGAGTTATGAACACTAATCCGAACCGAGGAAACTAAGCCTGCAATGTTTTACATATTGTTAAAATATTGTGGTTAATGACAGTGAACAGATTTCAGAAGGGGCCAAATACCTTATAATTATCTAAGTTTGGGTAGCTTTTTGCTTTAAATCTGTTTCATTTGAAACATTTTGATTTAAAAACAGAAAAGATTTTTTTCCCCCTTTTTTTTTACAGTACTGTTTACTGCATATTTTTGGAGCCTTGATTAATAAGATTTAGTTACTTCAGGAAAAATAATATCTATGACAGATCTATAATAATCAAGTCAAGACAAAGTTTTTTAACAGAAGGTCTTACTTTTGTTTCATCAGATGCTGGAGATGTTGAGGAATACGGACCATCGACAAGTACTAATCTAACATGAATCAGCTACATAAAGACATGGTTTTCACAAATGGAATTACAGCAGGTAATGTTACTAATTTCAACCATATTGTACCTGTTTATATTCTAATGTAAACAAAATATGTTATATTTGTGACGCATTTGCTTTAACACCCTGTGAGCTCACAACGGCTCTGATGTTCATCTTATTCAAACCCACAAATAACTTTGCCGTGTCCCTTTCATTCACTCACAGCTCCAGTGGAATCATGTTTTATGTTCCTACAAGGATTTTTGACTTTTCATGCAGCTTTTTAGGTTTAGGCAAATTATATTCCCAGTATGCATCATTTTCCTTCCTTTTATCTCCATAGTTATAGTTTCCCTCATAATGGTTAGGAAACTGCTTTCAAAAATGTATATTTTCTTTACCCAGTAATGTAATTCCTAATAATATCTACATTTATTTTTTTACAGGCTTTGATTTTGGAAGGTTTGAAAATGGTGAACTTGTTGAACATGACTGATTGATTTCATCCGCTGCCACAATTGCCTGCAGGAGATTCACTATCATTTTATTTCTCTAACTTAATGCATTTGCTGCTTTCTGCATTGCCTTTTCATCTGTGATGAACAATGTTGAATTTTCCAAAAGAAAAGTGAAAGGTTTTATTGTCTTATCTGTTTCCATCATCAAATTGCACAAGTGTTCACTGAGGTTTAAACTGTATGCAACAAAAAAGAAACAGAGAACAGAAAAACTAAAACCTATAGTCTATCCTAAGGACATTTAAAGCATTATAACCTGAAAAATGGATACCAAATATAAATACTAAATGGGTAAAAAATATGATTCATTTATTGTTTAGCAACCATATCTTTTAAGATGTTGTGTACTGTGGATTGTGCCTTTCAACTGACCAATACTTCAATGGATGTTTTCAACCTTGTTTGGAAAACGGATTTAAAGTTGATGTATTTTTTTATTTGAAAATAGACTGACTGGGCTTCATCCGATTAAAGTGTGTAGGATTTATCAAGGTACATTTATTGTTTTTATTATTCTTGAAAGTAGTAAACCTTGAGTAATGACTATTAAAGCTACTCTTTTCAGTATGGTGAACTTAAATACTTTTTAGATAAATTTCAATGTACATATGAGCACCATTGATGTATACACTAATAAAAAATATTCCTCAAAATTAATGTATTGTCTTTTTTTTTTTTTGAGTTTTTACGGCACTAGTGGCCCGTTTTATGGACAGTAGGCTGACAGGAAAGGGGGTAAGAGAGAGGGGGAGAGACATGCGGGAAAGGACCACAGGCTGGATTCAACACCGGGTTGCCCGCATCGAGGACTAAGGCCTCCATTCATGGGTCATGTGCGCTAACCACTGCGCCACCAAAGCACACCCCGCCTTTTATTATTTTAATCAGAATAATCAAAATAATATAGGAGAATGGGGAGTTTAAATCCCTTATTTAAGACTAGAACTGTACCAAATAGACATAAGGAATTGTCAGGAGGGTTCTAATATCTACTTGTAATAAAAAAAAAATCATACATTGGGTTTTTATAAAAATTTGTGTACAGAACAGATTTTTTTACACACAAAAAAATTGAATTTTGGTCCATTCCACATCTGAGGAAGATGAAGAACAAAAGAGGCCGGGAAAAAAAAACTACTTATCTCTCAGTGACCCTACCTTAATTTCCAGAGGCTGGCTGGCTTCTGCAGGGGCCTGAACCAATACACAGCAAATCCTCAGAAACAGTTATGTGGAGGACCATAATAGATTCCCACCTCCTTAAACACTCATAACACCTATAGGCTACCTGCAGCCCACACTTCCCCCCTTCCAAAACCTCTACCTATGAGCCCTGCCCTATCTCTCTTTACTTTTTACCTGCAGCACCCCTCCTCTTTGACAACATCAATACACTATAAAAGATTATGCAACCGAATTTGACATTTACTGAACTTATTTTGTTACTTTAACATGATTGTTTCATGTGAGCAGGGTAGGACATGAAACAATAGTCTTAAAGTTACTAAATATGCTTATGTAAATGCCAAAAATGGTTGCATAATTTTTTTCAGTGTAGACATCCTTGACCTGATGGTGTTTCCCTATCCTGCCTGACAGATGAGAACCAACCAGTCCTCATCTTTACTCTTATTTTTAATAAGTCTCTTGAACTGTGAGATTTACTGTAATTTCTCATGCTTTTATGTCACCCTCGCCCCTCCAAAACACACAGTTACAGGATTACCAATCATTTCAACCGCTGGTGTTGATTGACAAAGGACATCAATGGGGCAGTAATGGATCATGTCAGGTTTCCCTATAGTGCACTGTGGGACAGCTTTGACTACCAATTGGTCTTGCTTAGGGAGCTGGAGGGGCAGTTTGTAGAGTTCAAACCAAGCACTTGCAGCCCGCTTTAGGAAACATAAACGTTCTCCTCTAACCACCAGGCCACCACTCCCAAGACCTTGGCCACCAATGAACCTAGAGCCGGCCCTGTCCACAGTTTAGGTGAGAGCATCTGGTGACTTGACTATTCTTATATGAAAACAAATATAGCGTTTAGGGAAAATAGGTAAGAATAGCAAAAATAAAATTGTATTAGATCATGATTCAATACAATTTAATATTTTAAAGATTTAGTAAACTATAAATAGAGTGTATATATATATATATATATATATATATATATATATATATATATATATATATATATATATATATATATATATATATATATATATATATATATATATATATATATATATATATATATATATATACATGGCAATATTAGTATTAGCAAATAATAGTATTATTTGCTTTTGTAAGTCACTGTATTTTCAAACAAAATAGAGCCTATTCTTTATATATTACGGAAAAAAATTTAAACTATTCTTCTGCAGAGTACATTTTACTTTTAGTAGAGTACATTACTAGACAGTAGTTTACTAGAGTACATTTTATTTATATGGGAAACGTATTTTTTGTGGCAAAAGGAGGGAAAACACCAATTAAAGGTATACTCCATTGTAACAATTTTGTTGGCAGACTTTTGGAATCTTTAAAGGGGATGTTAAAGAAGCGGCCATGCAAACAGAGGACCCTTTGTTATCGAGTTAGTTTCCTCGTTCAATTATGGGCAAGATTGCACCCGAAAGTGTTAGCAAAAATAGCTTTTACATAACTGTAATTCTTTTACTATTTTTCTCAAACGTTTTTAATTCTTATATCATCTACACAATAGTTAAATTTAATAATTTGTGATTTTTATTCAGGCTTTCTCAGAGGTCTCCCTTTTGTAGCCCTGATGCGTTCTATTGCAGTCCCCGCTCTTGTGTAGGGATCCACCGCTAACCTGAAGCTGGTAAGGATAAACTGCTCAGTCCAATTAAAGGGGAAATGTTGCACGAATCTTATCCAGTTTAACTCTCACACTTGCTCCTTTTCTTATTCTGTACACTCTCATTGAATCATCTTAATGCGGTCCTCGTATTAGCCGCCCGTTTAGCCATTTAGTGCTGATACTAACTCTGATGTTGCAAACCTCGCATGGCGAGGGAGAGGAAAGGGTTAATTTTTTCCGCCGCCGACATTTTTGTTAAGCGCCCTGCCGCAACTTTTTAACTTGCATGTGCAAGCTGCTGGAGCTATGATTCACCCCATTGAATCAGATTCAGATAGAAGGGTGCACAGCGTTTGTTTTCGGTGCTATTACAGCCGGCATGTCGGCTCTCCGGAGCGGCTCTTTGTTATAAGAGCTGCCTCTGCTCCTCATCACATGCATGGATCGGCTAGCCACAGCTAGCAGAAAACGCAAAACTACATTTTTTTTTGTTGAAAAAAATCTCAACAGATCGAGGTTTACCTTTTGTGCAACGTCATGTTTCTGAAGGACAGATCTCATCTATAGGCTAACATGTGTTTTCCATTACATGGGACATCAGTGATCTTGCAAGCCAATGCCCCAGGGGTTGAATGAACGTGGAATCATTTCATGCTCCCCTTCAACAACCTGTTCTCCAGTTGTTGAAGGGGACATCTCCAGTTGCAAAACAAACTGGAGATGTGTTGGAGGACATAAACAACGTTATCATTTCTGGGTTCTTTTGATCTGATGCAAAATTAAATATGGACACTTGCACTGATGTGAGGATTTCTGGCTTTTCAACCTAATTCACAATCTTGATCGTAAGTTAATGTGTCCTATTGACAGACACGGGTTCAAAATGCAAGTAAAATATGCCCGTTATAGTAAGTAAATTATGCACCAGGGAGCGTTATCACAGATCCTTCCTCCCATCAGCTGTAAGACTTTATAACCATCAGTTCTCAACAACCTCAAAAAGTTTTTACATTCATGCTGATTTTGAACAGTTTCTATCTTAGTCAGTTAAATAACATGCTGCTGTCATTTTGCACATCTCTGATGTTGCTATTTTTCAAATATCCATTACTGGGAAAAAAAAAAGTCCATAGCTGTATCCATAGCTGGATATTGGTTATTTATTCTCCAGGTGCACAATATTAATATTGTTAAAACGCTTTACAGTATTTTTTTTTGTTTATTTCTTAAATCTTCACTTTTAATTTATTCTTATACACTTTTCTGAGGTCCACGTTTGTGTGACCACTTTTTTCTATGATCTTTTTGCTGCTGTAAACACCAGAATTTCCCCATTGTGGGACAATAAACAGATTTTCTGTTCTAATAGTAGTGGAGACTAGGGC